GATTGATTTGAGTTGGTTAGTTTGAAATATAAATAGATAAGATTAAATTAGGGGAGGTAGTTTAGGAGTATAAATAGGATAATGTTGGAACTAAAGGGAGGTTTATCTTCTCAATAGTTAGGGTAAAACGTGGGATAAAAGCAAATATTTGACACATGATTTTAAGAGATAGAAAATATTTGGCACGTGATTTTAAGAGAGAGAAAATAGGGAAGGAGAGATAAAATAGGAAAAGTGTAGAGATAGTTTTTTTTGTTAATGTTTATCTTATTTTTTTAGTCTATTTAAAGGGAGGTTTCCGTTCTTTGTAAGAAAGTGGATGCATTAATAAAATTTGATCTGGTGAAGAGATTTTTGGGGTGGATTCCCTCTCAGACCTTGAGAGAAGGTATATTCTCTCAAATTTTTATTTTTATTTTTTTTTGTTTTATTTTCTCAATTTTCATTAGTTCTACATGTTATACTCAATTTTCATACTTATATTTTGTGCGAATTCTAGATCTTACTTTACTTGTATATTTGTATTGGCAAGCTAATTTTAAATCTTTAATTTCTTTGTATGTTGATGACAAGTTTGTAAAAAAAACTTAGATAGACACGAATTCTTATCAATAAGCGGGGATAATATTATCTTGTGACAGTGGAGCTTTTGTGCTTGGAAACAATAAGATTGGTAATCCATTTGTTATTGGAAAATTGTTTCATGCGGCCAGGACCGCATTTCTCCAATATGTGGTTCCAAGGTATAAAACATCTATCTTAAAGATGAATGCAAATTGTAAATTGGCGGTCCATCAAAAAACAATTGAAACTAACGGTCAAAATATTTTTTTTTATAAAATCATTATTTTTATTTCTTAAAATTTATTTATTTATTTATATTCATGATCTCCATATTAGAGATTACAAGTCCTTAAAAATTCTCCAACTCAAAATTTAAAATTAGATTTTTAAGAGTCGACTCATTACTACATGGACTCCTAGAAACAATGTCCTTTGTTATTCTCTTAAGAAGTACTCGTCAAATAATTTATTTTGTACCCCTTTTCACCCAACATTTCCAACAAATATATATATATATATATATGTTCATAAAACAGTTTCATAGTATCAGACAAGACCCGTCCAGAAAAATATTGTACAGCTAGGCCCTAATTACAAGACCATCATCTTGAAAATGCTGAACAAAGTCAACAAGAGTATCCTCCAAAGGCCTGAATCGCCAGCCTAAGCTTTGGAGTTTTTCTGAGCTCAAAGGTGGATCATCCTGTCCATCAATAAATCTGTGGAACAAAAGAAAAAAAAAGTAATAAAAATGAAAAAAATTTGAAAATATTTCAATTCAGAGGGTTTAAATCAGATTCCAAACATGACACATCATGAGATTCCAATTAAAAAGATGGGACTCACTGTTTTGGGTAGGTGTGATTAGGATATCGGCTCCTCATAATCTCGACCATCTCCTTAGTTTTGGCTGCATGTCCAACACACACGTATCTTCCTAATGCTTCTGGGTTGTTGTAGACCAGCAAAAGGGCCTCTGCAAGATCCCGAACATCAATGGTAGAAAACGTTTTGTTACGGAATGTCTCCGGCTCTCCTGCTCAAAAAAGGTTATGTTTTCAAATGTAAGTACATTGCATGAACCACATGCATTATGGGTTTGAAGAATGAACATGATATTGGCATCTAAATTAACAAGAACTTCCATAGATTTCAACATATTCACAAACTTCAACCTTTTTCAAAAAGCATACTTAGAAATGTCTAACAATTACCAGAGAGAGAGAGAGAGAGAATAAAATAAAAATAAATAAAACTACTGGTCAACTTTTATTGAAGAGTATAACTTTGTGAATATTTTTATTATTCAATTAGTGCAATGGGATGTCTGGATATTTGTTAGAAACACACTCACTTTTTAAGAATAATACAAACAAGTTATCCTCCCCATTCCACATTTTCAGATGGTATTAATGAACCCATCAATGTCGTAGCTTCTATTCATGACAGTGCTTCAATTCATGACTGTAGCAAACATGATGTTGTCTCTCTCTCTCTCTCTCTCTCTCTCTCTCTCTCTCTAGGTTGTGTAATCTCTATAATAAATAGGATCATTTTTATTTCTTCGCTAAATTTCTGGTGGGTCAATGGGTTGAATGAAGAATTTATTAATTGGTCTTATAAAGCACAGAACACTGAAAGGAGGTTTAGTTCGGGTGAGGTGAAATGTAGGTTGGGGTTGGCCAATACCTATCCTTATACCATACACACTAATTTAGCACGAAGGCACCATGAGTATCATGAAATTTCATTTGCGAAAAAAAGGTCACATGAAATTCTTTTTTGAATCATAGCCTATGCCTTCAAAAATGGGGCTCACAATAGTAATCGGAGTATACCTTAGTCCTATTCATGGTTTTAGCTTGGGTTGTTGGTGTTGAACATGGTTGCCATGAAGTACTTGTTTGACCTTGTTATTATATGGGATTTGTTTACAAGCAGAAGAAACCAAGTTTTTATTGACATTACCAAGAGAAAAAACCCAGGTACATATTAACAATTCCTAAGAAGTATCCAATTTATTATTATTATTATTATAGATGGTGGTGAAGTCGATATTAGGAAATACTGAGCTAACTAATCGACACCATACATTTACTCTGACCATATTCTTAAAACTAAATTTAAGAAGAGGGAATGCCCCATACATACCTTTCAAAAGCTTGATGAGAAATAGACTACTGGCATTTACTGTTGGTTGTAGCCTTGGTCCTAGCACCGCTGATGGACAAACTGATACAAGGTCAAGTCCACTTCTCTCAGCATACTCCCAAGCCTCACTTTCAGCCATGGTTTTAGAGAGGTGATACCAATTCTGCAAGTAGAAAGAAAACAATCCTTAATCTTAGTTCGCCATAAAAGATAAGACAAAATAATGTATTATATATAAGATTTTGTTAGGGTACTCCTATACATAGAGTATTTCTTCGATGTACTCAATATTTTTGGACAATTATTAACTTTGTTTTGTAATACAAAAGTTTCCAACCAAGGGTATTTTTTGTAACTAAGAGGGGTAGAATAGATATTTTTATAAGAAACTATAACATTTTATTTATAGTTAAAAAGTAATTAATGCTCCATATAGGTAATGTCACACATCAGGTGAATGATGTCATTCTCCACCATAGTTAATAAAATGCATTTTTTTTATCAAGAATTTATGCTTTGCCTTTAGTAATTATCAAAAATACCTCTAAACAAAAGTTACCACATTAGAGTACCAAGTATACAAAAGTGGCGAGTACATTAAGGAAATACACCATGTGTATGAGTACACTAAAACTAAGATAAGCCCTATATATTTCAATGTAATAAAGATAGAGTCACTAAAATATATCCTATAAAACTAAAAAATAAAAAGGAATGTTTACCAGGTATCATACATAAGAAATCCTTGAATACCAATTTGTTTCTTCTGTTTTGATGCAAGTAATGATTTAAACTTGAAAACTAACCAAGTATTGTGAAAGAAAACATGCATGTTGGATATGTTAATGGTCACACTTTGTTTTTTCGAAAATAGAACATCAATGTTTAAAAAAAGCTGGGCGGCGCCGACGGCCATGGAGGGGTCTAGGCCGCCTATAACCTAGGTGACCTAGGTTCAAAAGGGGGCAAGGAGTGTCCAATAATCTTGTTTTGGGCCTAGATTTTGTATTAGAAATGCACATTCATGCATTTGGGCAATGCGGCCAGGCCCTCTAACCCGCCCAGGCACTAGGCGGACCGCATTTTGAATCAATGAAGAACATTCAAGGAAGTCATGCATGTCTAATCGATGAAGAACATTGAAGTCATGCATGCTAGACATGCGTGTAGCACTCACTTTTTCCAAAAGAAGTTTATTCGAAGGCTTAGTAATCCTCCTTACTACATCTACTCAATCAGAAAAAATAACTGCAAAGACTCTGACTTGGAGCAGAGCTTATTTAATATTTCTTCCATGAAATTTAACTGGATTGATTACATCTTCTGTAGAAAATTGCTTTTAGAATTGTGAATAGTGAAATGAAACAGGATCCAAAAACATCATTGTGACCAGGTTCCAAATTGTGGGTTTGCATGGGTAAGATAGAGATCAAAAGTCAAAATTGTTGGTGCAAAGGTGGTTCTGCTGATCCCTTCTTTCACTAGGCCATCCACAATGGTGGTTGCGCTTCTTTCCAAGTGAGATGAATGAATAGTAATGAGTTCTTTTTAATACTTTAATTTTCACCAAGAGACCTGATCTTTCCTCTATCATCAGCTTTTACGATGAAGAACTCATACCTCAGAAAAGTTAATTTATCAAAGTAATAAACTCCAGTATGACAACAATTTAGTATTAATACATACAACAGTCACTCAGGGTTAATCTATCAAACCATTACCTCAGTTGTTATACAATATTGCGTGTCAGACCAACAACTTTCATCCATGACCCTATCTCGAGGCCAATTTGGATTCATGTAAACAGCTGCAACAGAGGAGACAAGGACAATCCGTTTTACTTGTGCCTCTTTAGAAGCTTTAAGCACATTCAATGTTCCTTTGACTGCCGGATCCAACAATTCTTTCTGCAACAAAATATGAGATTTCCAAAGAAATACTATTCATTTAATGGATAAGCCAAATAACTGCCCTTCTTGAGATAGGCATTGACCAACAAAAAAAAATTGTCAGCATATATTAGGATGATGAAAATGTATATATATATATACAGATTAGCAAATCCTCAAAACAGTTTTTCTTTTTCTTTTTTTTTGAGGTGAGGTGACGACTCAAATAGTGTACTAGGAATGTTGTAGGCAATGTTATTCCTTAGACCTTGTTATGGGTTATACATTGGATTGTCTTCACTTAGATCATGGATTCACCATTGGATAGTAGCGATCAAATATAAGCATTTTAATGTAAACAAAAAACATAGTGCAACAAAAGGTAAAGTCCATCAAGTGTAAATATTTCATTACTGTTAAAAAGGTACTACAAAATGGACATGGAGACGTGAATTCTGGTCAAGGAAGGGAGAAGACAACCCTAAAACATAATATAATCTTGCCTGAGGATCTGCCACCCTGTTTGATGGAACTGGACTTGCAACATGAAAAACTCCATGGCATCCTCTGATTGCTGAAAAAATGGAGTTGTAATCCAGGAGATCCGCTTTGAAGAGTAGTAAATTTGTTGAAGAATTTTCCAACTTCTTAACATGGGCATATCTTTCATCATCTGCAAGAACTTTTTCACAGACAGATCAGCTGTTCTGGTTATTCTGTATACCATAAACCATATGATCATAGTAACAATATGGTTACCATGACCATAAAGGGTGCCATCCCTCTGATCATACATATGGTTTATCTTTGTCATCAGTTTCCAAGAAAATGATCGTAGTAGCAGTATCGTCATAGGGTTTCATTACCTGCCAATCAATAGGCTGGATGCAGATGGTAGAAGAGTACCATAAGGGTCATGGTGTACCTTCCCTATGATCATAGAATATGATTTACCTTCAACATTGATTTGCATAAAACAAAAAAAGATCATAGTAGCAATATATTCATAGGGGTCATAATCCTCAAATCAATAGGTTGATTCAGATATATGACCTTCTCTCCCTTCATCACCATCTAACCCGTACTATCACTATCCAACCTCTTCATTGGACCATGACACCCCCATGACCATACTCCATGATCACATGAAGCATACTATACTTCCCCTTTCCTTTAACTCTACATATCATCATTGCTACACGTTTTCATGGAGCATGAAATGAGTTGTTATAAAATTCATGAACTTTGGATGCATTAAAATGCTTCCATAAATTATCAAACAATATTAAAACTTGACATAAGGATGCATTTCTACATCAAGTTTCATAAATAGATGGACATGACATCATCTCTTCCTATATATGCCTGCTCAAGACTGCGGTTGCAAAGACCATGCTATTAGGTAGCAGCCCTGCTCCAAAATTGCCCTGCTCCAAAATTTTCCCAAGAACTGAACATTTGAGCCTAAGTTAGAACCCAAAATTTACTTGCCTATGATCACAAATTAGAACCCAGTATTTGTAGGAGTCATGCCTCCCAGAAGACAGACTGTATCATCACATTTCTTTGCTCCCAAATCCATTACATGGTGCTACAAAATGCCTTCATATTCACGTATGTCATAATATATTCTCATATAGAGTATGACTCTGTGATGTCCAAACTAAGAAATTTATAGCCTATAGAAAGTGTTAACTTTTACAAACCCAACATTTATGATGCCAACTCTTTGTCCAATTCCTTGCGTCATGTGTCATGGTCCTTATGAATTAATGGAATGTTTCCTTTATCTTTACTCTGCTTTAGTCCTACATTGGTTGCATTGTACCATGTCATGAGGCCTCTTTTCTATAACAAAAGGAAATAATCCTGTCGGTTAACAAACCTCTCATTGAGATAGGAGAATGAGAATGGCCTCAAGTCATATAGAGAACCAAAATGGAGTCCTCCAAAACAGGATATGCACTGCAACCATGATTACTTCTTTCTACTGTCCTCTTCAATCTTTAACTTTTCACAACCAACTAAACTTGTTATGTGAGCTGCAGGGTACATCGCTTAGAAAGGTTCGATAAGTCATTCGGGCGATCCCCTCCCACACATAGGAATCAGCCCTATTCTCTCTAAAATGAATAACATGTTTGTTTGATGATTTAATGTATAAAACAAATGTATTACAGATGGGAAAGATGCTCTATGCAACTTTTTGTTTTTGTTCTCCTTCATTTTCTATTCTTTTATTAATTTTTTGTTTGATTGTCAATTTGGCCGATCCGGATCAGTATGATGGAGGACCAATCTACTCGGACCATTCATGTTTTAAAACACTGTAAAAAACCTATCTAGTGAAATAAATTAATTGAAACAGTGAAGCAAACCTAGAGGCCTAGTTGTTAAATTGGGTGCATAATGAACCAACAACTATGGGTGCAGATTGATCAAGTTTGTGTTGTGGTTAAGGGCAAACTTGGAACAGGTTAGGTAGACCTCAAGACCGGACCAGACAGGTGGTCTGACTGGTCAGACTAGCAACTGGTGGCAAAAATTGGGTTTGTCAAAAATCGATCCAAAAAGCAGTGTTTGACTGGTCTGATTGGCAAGTTTCAACCAGTTTGTTTGACCAAAGTATGCAATGTTGTTCTAGTATACATATTTTGAAACTACTGTTAATATATTTATTCATATTTTTAAATCCATTTGGGAGAACTTAGGTGCCGTTCCAATAAGCGGTAAGATGAGAGAAAGTAGACTTAGGTGGCCAGCCATGTGCAACCAGACACAGTGCAGCACTTGTAAGAAAATGCGAGTTAGTTTAAGTGGAAGGCTCAAAAAGAGCAAGGGGTAGGCTCAAAAAGAGTAAGGGGTAGGCCCAAAAAGATATGGTTAGAAGTAGTTAGAAAAGATATAGGGACTTATAGCCTCACTGAGGGCATGACCCATGATAGAGCAGAATGGCGGATCAAGATTGGTGTAGCTGACCCTAAATAATTACGAAAAGGTTTCGATGATGAAAATAATGATATTTTTAAATACATGGAAATCAGTTCGACTGAAAGTCAGATCAGCTTTGACTGGACCAAGCCTCTCATCGATTCGGAGGCCAGTTCGATCCTGATAATATTGATCGAAACTGACTTGATTGGTTGGGTGGGTATATCAGTATCATCATCATCACCATCACCATCCAAACCTTACCCCAACTATTTGGGGTCAGCAACATGAATCCTGATCCCTTAAACCGCTCATCAGGATTGATGAAATAGATGGGAAAATTTTTTACAATGGTTGCCAACCTAACACAATACTCCTCCTTTCTATGGGCTTAGAACTGGCATGACCAGATTTGGACGGGTTATGGCGGAGTTTGGTGGGTACACACACACACATACACTCATTGGTCGGACCTGACCCCCTTTGTACTCCTAACAATAACTTATAAACCATAGGGACATGACCAACCTTCAGGCTTACCTGTTACCAAATGCATAACAGTTAATGCTACCCGAAATTATTGGTGGATCATCCAATTCTTATTTTCCCCACCCAAAAAAAGTTATAAACTCTATTATTCTTCTACATTTTTGAACTTATATGTGAATGGATTTGGCAAAATAATCTTGAAAAACTTCAATATTCAGAAAAAAGTACGCGAACAAAGCGTCTTTAATTGAGCCAATTGCTAAAGAATAGCAATGACTATAGTGGTGTCTACCAAATTTCGATAAGGAACCATATTTGATTGTAACAATTTGGGGACTCAATATTTGAAGAGTCAATAAAGTAATCACCAGCAAAAATTCATTATTTAGATAACAGATTCAATGGAAATAATTTCAGTTTCAACTCTAATTAGCAATCTTCATGCAAAGGCTGAAACAAGAGACCCTGTTAAAAACCAAAGTGGCCCAAGTAGAGAAAGAGAGAGGTGGTAAACAAATTGAAGGACCTGGATCCCTCACAGTGCCATGGACTGTGTATCCCTCAGAGAGAAGAAGCTTCACCAGCCATGAAGCACAATAACCCCCTGCACCTGTCACACATACTCTTCCCTTCTCACCCATCTCTCTCTCTCTCTCACACACACACACTAGAATCCCAAGCTCTTCCAACTCCAAGATTCTCTCTCCTCTAAAATCCCAAAGTCTCCAAACTCGAGGTCTCTCTCTGTCTTCGCACTGCAAAATTCTATGCTTGGTGCAAGTGCATCAAGGCTAGAAAATGGAGTGATTGAAGTTCTAATTTGAAAAATGAAAGCACGTAGCTACTGGGAACCTTCGTTTAGGACAAGTTAAAAATGGGCCGTCCATTTCAAGATTAAGAAAAGTGGGCCACGTGATGCTTCTTTTTTAGTTTTTTAGTTTTTCAAATGTATGTCCTAGGCTCAACTGTTATCAGGGGTAGGCCCCTGTCCCGCCACTTGCTCACCGAAAAAACAAGAGAAAAAAGGATGGGGTTTCTATGAGTCAGCCCACTCATATGTACACATGCGGCTCCCCTCTAAATTTAGCCTGATGGATTTTTTATTCAAAATTTTAGGGATTCATTTTGTAAGTCAAAAAAATTGGAGATTTAACATGTAATTTTTTTTGGGATATTTTTGGCACCGTCCATATTTGTTTGACCCTGTCCTCTAATATCTTAACGATGGACGTTGAAGATTCAGTGGGCTTTTATACCGGCTGATTCATAAAACGCTTTTCTTAAAAGAAAAGTGTATTAAGAGATTATTTATTTTTGATACAAGGAACTCACAATCACTCTTATACTTAAATTTCAAATCAAATGATTGTAAATGTATTATCGACTAATCTCAAAATTTTAAAAGAAGTTTCAAATTTTGCAACACACCCAAGACATCCAATGCGATATCTAATGTCTAGGAGTAATTGCGACCTCCTTGTAATAAAAATAATTGGCCTCATGGTATACAATATCTTAGTTTTATGCTGTGACTCAGTTCACCTACTTAAAAACTAGCATAGATTACTCAGTGAATCGGCTAATAAATAAATAAAAAGGAACTATATACTATAAGTTTATTTACCATTGGTACAAGGGGGCTACAAAAAAATTTGTTGTATAACTTTGAGCTTGGTTAATAGAATAATTGCATCCCCCGGATTTTACATCTTATGGTTAAAATTAATTTGTGCCTTCATGTATCATACATAAATAGTCTTATTAAATATTTTCCAAATAAAAAAGTAAAGAACAAATCAAAAAGTAAAAATAAAATAAAATAAAAGGAGGGGTCGAATCAACCGATTTCTTGACAAAACCGGCTGGCTGGTTCCTTTGTGCACTTAAACTTTTCCTTAGTCCCTCCCAAGCCTGGATTGTGTTAAGTAGGCAACATAAGACTTTTACCAAAACTTTCTATGAGTTTTATTACTCAATAACCAGCAAATCTGCGAAAGGAATGATAAATAGTCTTCTCACTTTCTTTCTGGTCAAGGTAAATTTTTGTTTTTTAATTACTGTACTTTCATTCTTGTAATTTTAGTGGTTAAGTTTTAAAGAGGATGTAAATTTAGTGGTTATGGGAAATATTATTGGGTAGTCTATATAAGGCCTTAATATTAAACAAAGTCGCAACTCTAAATCCTTTATGTTTATGTAATTATAGGGCTAATTTGAAAATAGATGGCTAAAAAATGTGTTACAAAATATATTATTTTTACGATTACAAATCTTTTTTTCATATCCCTACATTCCAAAGTCGAAATAATTAATTGGAGAATTATCTAACGTCAAAATAACCTCTTACTTTTATAGTAAAATATTGCTACTTCATATGAACTTCTATCATATTAAAAGTGAATAAAAAAAAAAAAAAACATTTATATAAGGTTGCAACCTGGCTTGTCGAAATAAAACTGTAGTAATTCCCAATGTCCATTTTATTTGGATGACATAGATTTTACATTATCTTAAAAGACGTATTACTTTTTGATACTATATTAAAATGCATGTCAAATCTACACCGTCTATCTAAAATAGATGATGTAGAATATCGCAACCTTACTTTTACGAAGCAAAGTTGCTACTTTATACAAAACGAACAACCTGAAAAAGAAAAAAAAAAAAAAAACAAAAAAAAAAAAAAAAAACAAAAAAAAAGAAAAGAAGAATGTGGCAAAACACCAACTTTTAAACTTCACCCAAAGTTACGTGGATATCGATCATCCACATTTCTTGCTTGGTCTCTCAAAAAAAACCTTTTTTTGGTTTTTTATTAAAAAATTATAATAATCTCAATCTTGTGAAAAAAAACTAAGTGCTAATTTTTGGCTATTTCAAAGCCAACAATAATAACCTGGGAAACCATTTTTCTTGGATGCCAGTTTATAGGTTGATAAATAATATTCACAAGGATAAAAACCCAAGAGCAACCTTAAAACATACACTTACTTAGTGGTTACAATTAACCTTGACTATTGGATGTAAATTGGATGGTTGCATTTATTCTATTGACCAAACTCAAATTTCAAAAAAAATTTTCTCAAGCTTTGTGACACACCCAAACGATCAGATTTCACATCAGATGGTTATATATAATTGTGACCTCTTGTATCAAAGTTAAATGGCCTCATTGTAAGTAAATAGTCTCAGTACAATCCCAAATATTATTATTAACAAAGATAACTCTTAATGGAGAGAGGGAAAACATTTCCCTTCAACTCCTCTAAGCGAATGGGGGCCAGTTGCTTATCAAGTTGTTTTTATTTATTACTGTTTGATGGCAGCACCATCCATTCGAGTGCCTTTGTAATTCCCATAGATAGCAAGAAGTGCTATGCTATTTTTTAACGCAATCTTTATTTACGTACCTTTCGAATTACAAAAAATGTACCTGACAAGAAATTTCCTTTCAGGTGCCTTTGTAATTCTCTTGTTTGATAACAGGAAGTGCCTATAGGCATTTTGATAAATTTCACAAACCAGTGTGAAGCCCTTAAGACACAATCTCTCCTTCTCTCAACTCCTACTTACAAGACCAGCTTCCTCAAAATGTTTAACAGAGTCAACAAGAGTCTCCTCCAAAGGCCTGAATTTCCACCCTAACCTTTGGAGTTTCTCTGATCTAAATTGAACTGCATCTTCCTCTTCATCAGTGAACCTGCCAAAAATAAATAAATAAATAAAATATAATAAAATAAAAAATAAGTTAAAATTATTCCATTAAGGTTTTTTTCTTTTTTTTTGCATTATAACAGGATTAAAAGAAAATGGGACATCTTAATATGCCAATAAAAGAAGATGGACTCACTGTTTTGGGTAGTTGTGGTTTGGATATTGGCACCTCATAATCTCAACCATTTCCTTCACTGTGGCTCCGTAGGCCACACCTATGTACCTTCCAGAAGCTTCCGGGGTCTCGTAGACCAGCAAAAGGGCCTCGGCGAGGTCCCTAACATCGATGATAGACCAAGTTTTGTTGGGAACACACTGTTGGTTTCCTGTTTTGAATTACAAAAAAAAAAAAGAAAAAAAAAAAGAAAAAGAAAAAAGGAAAATGGAGTGAGTCGAATTCGTTGTTGGATGGAGCATTGAGATGATAATGATATAGAAAGAAAAGCAGGTTTGAAAGTTTTGACAATCTGACACCAATTTTAAAAGAACATGGTTTCTCTGAGTCCATGTAGAAAGGAGTCTCCTCTTAATAATCTATTTTTAAGATGGATTTTTGGACCCAATTTTCAAGGACATATAATCTCTATCATGGAGATCATGAATATGAAAAAATAAATAAATTTTAAAAATTAAAAAGAATAGTTTTATAAAGAAAATATTTGGGCTGTCGGTTTCAACTGTTTTTAGATGGACTGCCCATTTGCCTCCATCTTTAAAATGGATGCTTTATACCTCGAGGGATGCAAATGTAGAAATGCATCCCGAGACACATGAAAC